CATTATATAAGATTATTTTATATAAGAGTATTTCGCATACAATTCTGAATTTATAATAGTATTGATATAGTATTTGAATTAACGTGTAATTAAAAGATGTTAATGAAACTATGTACGTTTAATTATATCATTATAATACAGATTTTTTTAAATTCATATTTTTAAGAAATATTTAGTAGAATATAAAATTAGAAATTTTATTCAGTAGAATATAAAATATAAAAGAATATAGAATATAAAATTATAATATACACTAAATATACTTGGGCAACAGAGTAGTTTAACAAATAAATTTACGTACATATCGATATATGTATACGTAAATTTATTTATTAAAAGATATTCTGTTGCAGAATGTAACTCAAAAATAGAAATAATTTTATGACATTTTTAATTTTATTAATTTCCATTTTTGTCAATCTTATATAATTCCTACGACGAAAATCAAATATGAGAAAGATAGCGGTAAATAAAAGAACTAATTTAGTTAAAAAATATTTACAAAATAATTACTATAAATATTTATCTTTACATACCATAAATATTATATGAAATATTTAATCTATCTTTTAATAATATGTTAAATAAAAGTTTTTATAAAACATTTTCAAAATATTTATATAACATTTGAAAAAAATATATATTCATAAATATTTATGAATCTTTATCATAAATATTGTGTGCTGTCTGGGAATTAATTATAGACACAGAGAATCATAATGTATACCTCGTTTACCTCATGATAAAAGAAATGAATGATATGTGCATTTAATTTTAAACTCAGTGTTTTCAGAAAACTAATATAGTGTGTCATTACTTCCTCATCACTAAAATCGAATTTATGCACTATTATACTGTTTACATGATTATTAGATAATCTAAAAAAAAACAGGAAATTTTAATATATATTTTAAATCTCATAAATCGATACATGTATAGAAGAAAGATAGAATTTTATTACACTCACATAAAGACGGATGTCTCGTTACGTATGTTTTCGAATATAAGCAGTTGAACACATACATAACTTCCACATTTTTGTTTCATAATTCGCAAAAAGAATGAAAGCATGTTTTTCTCCAGAAAAAACTGCAAATATATATTTTGCGAGTCACATTTTTGTATATTTTGCATCATTAATATTTAATGACAATAAATTTTTAATATAAGGATACCCTTTCTAATTTTTTTTTAAACCCACAAGAGAAGATATCCCTTATATTAAAAATGTATTTCATTAATAAATATATATACATGTAAGTGTCCTATTTTTTAATATGCTTAAATATATAAAAAATCGCGTTTTAGAAACCAATGTCTCATATAAAAATAATTTAGTTTTGAAGAGGAAAGAAGTTAATAACTTTGAATTGTAGCTAAGTTTAATTATTTTTGAAGGTCAATTTTTGTAAATAAAGTCACCCAAATAATTTGTATATAAATCAGTATTTTGAGAGGTTGAGTAAGTTAATATGATTTTTTAAAACAAAGTTAAAGTTAGTTGCTTATACTTGAAATTTTCACGATAGAGACTTTGCACATGATTTCTCTGTTTATATAGCACGTTAGCGTAAAAATAAAAACACTTTCATTATATAATTGAGACCCAATCTTTCGATTAAGACTATTTAGAACTCGTTCAGCAATTATATGAGAACTGAAAATATCGAGTACTCTCAACTGCCTGACTCGCGTAAAGAGACACGGAGCGCGTCTTGTTGCTTGCGCAAACTTAGTACAAGACACTACCGTGTTTTTTGATAAAATTAATTTAGTTAAGTTAAAAGTTGCATGAACAAAAAATTAACTCGGTTAAAGTTAAGTTAAGATTAAATTAACTAAAGTTAAATCCAAAGTTAATTTTTAAAAACATTATTTATATTAAATTAAAATTTTGTTTGTCAATTCTTTTAAAATTTATAGCAATAAATAACAAAGTTTGATTCTTGTAGAAATATATAAATATATAGAAATATATAAACATAAAAAATAATAATACTTTAATTTAAAAATAATACGTTTATAACTTATAAAAAAAAATGGTATTCAGAGATAAAAAAAATTTAATTTAGAGAGAAAGTTATAGTAAATTTTAAGGTCAAAAATAACTAGTTGAAGTTAAAAAGTAATACCTTTTAAATTAACTAAAGTAAGTTAAAAGTTATTAACTTTTCAACTTTTTTTAACTTTTAACTCATTAACTGTTTGTTCCTTTAACGATGAAAACGTCCATGTAGAACAGTAAAAATCCAAAGTCTTGTATCACTCAAAGAATTGTGAATCTTTATATTTTTTAGTGCACAGAAAATATTGGTGTGCTCAATTAAATTTGCAATCTTTTAAAACTCTATTAAATAAGCCTCAATAATGAATGGTAAGTATTATAACATTTGACTAGATGGGCATTCACATGTTTTATGAAACGTTAATAAGGTTCCTAAAACGTTTATATATATATTAATGTGTTGGTGGGATTGTGTAAAAGTCCACATAAAATTTATTTTAAAATTTTTAAATGAAAACCTCTGTGTTTATGTAGCTTATCTTACAGAGTTTTGCAAAATATATATAATAAAATTATAAAATTATAAAATATAATAAAATTTCTTTCCATTAAGTATTTCTCGAATTATGAGGCTTTAATTGCGAAAGATACAGTATTTTGACATAAAATACAAAATATATTGTAAAACATTTTCGGTAATATTACTTTAAAAATTCACCAATCACAGTCAAGAATGAGGCGGGGAATAATTGACTGTGATTGATCAATTTCTTAAGGCTTAAGGTGCCTACTGATGGACGCGGCAAGTTGCCGCGCGCGGCAGTTCAGAAAGAACTAGATCTAGGGGCTTCTGAATCACTCCTGCGTTGCCGCAAGTGAAGTTGGAATAATCCAACTTCACTTGCGGCAACGCGGGAGTGGTTATTTGTGCACATTTCAAAATAAAATTGAAACGATGGCAGGAGTAAATGTGGAGATTCCAAAGGTTAGTGTATGTTATTATATCCAAATATAATATAAGTTTAATATAAAAAAATATTAAGAAAACAATCGCGAAGGTAATATATATGATTGTGCATAATTCAAGATTGGAGGTTAAGTGTATGTTTTGGTCGTTTCGGAAGAGAAAAACGTACCGTAACATGTGCGTACGAATCTATTTCAATTCTTATAAACATTTATGACTTGGAACCGAACTTTAGAATGACACATCGGGTGATATAATTGATTTTTTTTTTATGGCAGAAAGTATACACATGCGGATTATGCGAAATAATTCTTGGGGACCTTGAGGATGAAGAAACATGGTCCCATGAATGTTTTGCAAATTATTCAGAGATTGTTTTTGATGTGAATAGCTTGTATTTATATCCCAAATGTGGTAAGTAAAATATAAAAGGTGAAAGTGACCGATATAATACTATTTGAGCGAATGTAAAAATTTAAATATCTTGTAGAAGATGGAAGCATTGTGCGCCGAAGTGCGATTAATGGAGCAGAGCAGATTGTAATAGAATCGCCTCTTCCGACACAAGAGCCGTGCCCAGTGGAAAACCTGGAAGAACTTATCATTACAGAAGTGTCGGCACGAGAACTGTTATGGAATCAAAAACTGAGTATAACAAAACGTGACAGGCAAACTGTACAACAACTTTGGAAGCAAGTGGCTAATGCGACGAATGGTACGTATATATATTTGTGTGTGTATGTGAGAGAGAGAGAGAGAGAGAGAGAGAAAGAGAGTAGTTAAAGAAAACTCAATAGAATTAAAGTGATATAACAGTACGATTTTATTATTACAGGCGAATGTTCTGTCGATGAGGTAAAAAAAAAATGGAAGAACTTAAGGGATCGTTACATGAAAATAATCTCTCTTGAAAAGTTGCCAAGTGGATCAGGAAGTAAACCATCTCGCAGAAAGTGGCAACATTACGAATTGTTGTCTTTCTTACGTGACACTTCTTTGGAAAAAGAGTTAGTATTTCACAAAAGCATTCACTGCAATACTAAAAACAGTTAATATTGATATTATTTCATTTTATTGTATTTCAGGACAGTTTCAAATATGATGAGTCGTGAGGAAGACACTAGCAATGATGACACGGAAATCCAAAGTGTGGACGTCGTAGAAGTCAACGGTGCGATTGATGCATCAAAAAGTATTTCGTTCATAAGCTGTACGGGCAAGTAAATAAATTTAAAAACAGAAAGAGAATAATAAGAAGAATATGCAATAATAAAATAAAACTTTTGCAGAGTCTACAATGTAGTCGTTATGACAATACGACGCTGCAACGGACCAATCAGAGAAAAAAAATCATATATTCTCTTCTTTGATTGATCCGTCACAGCGTCGTAACATTGTAACGACTGCATCGTAGACCCCGCATTATATTCAAAATTCCACATTAATTATCAACCGACACACATATATATATATTGTAGGAAAATTGTACAAATTGAATATCTCACTTGTTAGTACTATTACAGCTAGCTACATCAATTTTGTCCAATAATACAAAATGTATTATTATGTAAAAGTCATTCTTTCATTTTCAGGAATGAAAAGAAAACGAAAAAGTACTGAGCGCGAAGAAGACTTGATGAAGCAGATAGCAGAGGCCTTGCAGACTCCACGACCACCTTTGCCAACTCCTCCTGTTCTTGACGAAGTTGACAATTTTACTTCGATGATTGCCTGCCAGCTACGAGAGTTGTCATCAGTCCGCAGACGCGCAATAATGTTGAAAATTCACGAGCTCTTACGTGCTGAATTATTGCGTAACGACAATTCGGCAACAACAATAATATAACGTAAAATATAATAATATGAATAATATATGTATACGTATAGTAATAAAACGAGACTGATTTTGTTAGTGCAATAAAGCCGAAGCGTATTTATTCAAATAGTTATTACTCAACTGGACCGGGATACCAAGAAACATTAAAGTTATGATTATCTGGGAAAGTAGGAAAAAGAAGTTTTAAAGAATTAGTTTGCATGATTAAAAGGTGTGATTTATTTCCTTTGCATGTGTAGTATACAAATAATGATTATATCTGTGATGTCTAGTATAATATTATAAATAAAACGAAATAATATGCTAATGTATCATTTATCATTTTGCCATGCCACTGAGCCTTCATTATTAAAATATTTACAAAATTCATCTCTAATGAGCATGGCACCCCGAGTACTTGTATTTGTACTACATTTGGAGATGTCCACAAATGCACAACCATCTTCCATAATCGTCCTCCACGAACCTCGTATGTGATCACCCACAGCCGTTTCTTTATCCAACATACCTGGTGGAATATAATTGTTCTTCTCGATATCACTCTTGCGGAGCCAGTTATGAATGCAGATTGTACCTTGTACGATCTTCATAGCAGTTTCCACACTACTAATGATCGGTTTTCGATAAACTCGCCATTGGCTAGCAAGTATTCCGAAACAATTCTCTATCACTCGTCTGGCTCTACTGAGTCTATAATTGAAGATGTGCTGTTCGGCGGACAAGTTATTTTTGCCAGAGTATGGCCTTAGCAAATATGATTTCAATGGAAAGGCTTCATCCCCGACAATGCAGTAAGGCAAAGACGGGCCTCCTTTGTAAAAACTGTCCGATTTTGGGATATTCATTTGACCTGCATTAAGTTGTTGACCGAATCGGCTTTCACGAAAAATGCCTCCATCACTTCGCCTGCCATACGCACCAATATCGACGAACCGGAAAATATAATTGGCATCACAAATAGCTAATAGCACAATGCTATGACTGTTTTTATAGTTGTAGAAATTGGAGCCAGCATTATCCGGACACTGAAATTACACAAAGATTATTATATATTTTTCACATACTGCAAGAAAATTGGAGTCTGCTCGTATTGTTTTTTCTATTTATTTCCCGATAGTTTTTAATATTTGAATAATGCCTGAAAAGAATTATAATACAAGTATTACTTACTTGAATGGTTACATGCTTTCCATCGATTGCTCCAATGCAATGTGGAAAGTCCCATATATCTTCAAAATCTTCTGCGATGCTCCGCCAGTCATCTTCGAATAACTGAGGTGGAAGAACCAAAGGACACAAATGTTCCCAAATAATCTTGCATGTTGTAGCAATAATATTGCTTACAGTCGTCAAGCCTACTAAATATTGATATGTCATTGAAGACATGGAATCACCAGCTGCCAGAAATCTGAAACGTAATGCAAATTGATGTAATGCAACATTTACATTCATATAACTAAAATAAAAACAAAAGATGTTTACCGTAATGTCAACGTCAATCGTTCTGCTGCACTTATCGGCTCTCGCACGACGTATTGTTTCTCTAGATGCGGGCCTACAATGGCTAACAACTCTTCGTATTGCGTGGTTGACATCCGAAAATAATTATGGAACCGCAGATCTTCCAATTTAAGTGTTGGCAGCAAGGCATGGTAAAAACCATGCTCACAGCGTTTTTTAAAAATTGGAGCAACCCAGAAACGCTTCTTTTTGTTGATCCGTCTGTTTTTTGCAGCTAATAACATAGCTAATGATCCGAGCAACTTGTCACGTCGGTCTGCTTCTACATTCTGTTCCTGACTGCACTGCATTGACCACTCATAAATTTTCATTTTTGCAGACATGATATATTGATTATTTAAACTGATAACTGAGATACTGAGGAATTGAGGTTATATTGTTTCGCGACAAACGCGATGACGCCGAATTCGCGCGGCAGACGCGGCAAGCGGCATCAGTTTCAGAAGCCCCTAGATCTAGTTCTTTCTGAACTGCCGCGCGCGGCAACTTGCCGCGTCCATCAGTAGGCACCTTAAGGGTCGACAGGTCGGTCGGCCAAACTCCGAATTGATGTTAGAGACCTCGCGCGGTGACAACGCGAAACTCCGATTTCAATGTTGCCAACGCCGAGAAACCAATTCTCGGGTTTTATGTAGTGGTGCATGTCTGTACACGTACATACACCATTGCATTGCTCACGCGGACGCACCGTAGAGAGACAAGGACCGATAATCACGTGTTCTCCTTGTTCCTCTACCGTGCCGGTATACGCGAGATGCCGCCTGAAAATGCTTTCTGGCCTTCCGTAGCAGAAGGCAGTAGCGTAGCAAGGCTAATAAGTACCTACTTTTTATAAATTTTATATATCCTTATGCACATATGTGCGTATATATATATATATATATATATATATATATATATGTTATATAAGGGATATGTTGATTATTCTTGATTTCTTTTTGATTATTGATGCTATTGTATAATTTGCTCCAATAACTTATAACGTGAAAGAACGTACCGTTGAGTAATATATAATCAATGCAAGGATGTTCAGTATATCATCCAGTAAATTAGAGTTCAAATATATCAATATCAATTTTTTTATAATACAATATATATATATATATATATATATATATATTGGAATATAGAAAAATGATAAAATATATTTCGGCGATTTAAAAATTTTTTAATATATTGAAAATATTTTTACTACATATATATAAGTGTAAAATAATTCAGAAAATAAATTTAATAAAAATCTACATACCAGCTGTGTGCATGTGTGCAATTGATTTATTGAAATTTATTTACGGAAGTATTTTGCATTTATATATTTATAGTGTGTGTAGTTGTAAAATGATTAAAATATTTTCAATATCAAATTTTTAAGTTTATCGCCTATATAAAAAATATATTTCTATGATTTTCTATATTCTAATATATTATAAAAAAATTGATATTGATATATTTGAACTCAAGTTTTTTACGTGATTAAATATTCTTGCATTGAGCCATCATACGTTACTCGTAAGTTCTTTCATATCTGTATATATATATATATATATACTTATATATATATATATATATATATATATATATTTCATTTATTTATAAAATACATTTTTAATTCATATTCAACCTGAATGATATTTTCTATATGTTTATGCTATCCTCCGATCTATCCCTAACAAATTAGGAGGTGTAATTGCATTATTATCATCAATTATTATCTTATATTTTTTACCTCTAATTTCTATAAAATTTAATTCATTATCATTTTATCCTTTAAATCAATATTTATTTTGAATTTTCATTAATATTTTTATTCTATTAACATGAGCAGGAGCTCAACCTTTTATCATTATTAGACAAATTTTATCATTATGTTACTTTCTTTATTTTATCTTATTACCTTTCCTAATAAAAATTTGAGATTTAATTATTTTTAAATAAATATTAAAAAATTTATCATTATAAATAAATTTAAAATATTAAAAATAATTATATTTAATACTTAAATTTTTTATAAATTACTATTAAATTAAGGTAATGATCTTGAATTTAAGTTTATGTTTTGAAAACATATTAAAGAAATTTTAATTTTTTATTAACTTTTAAACATTTAATTTTTTTTACTAAATTATTATTAATAATATAAATTTAAATCCAAAAATTAATAAAATATAAACCAAAATTATTGGTAAAATAATTTTCCAACATAAATATATTAATTTATCATATTGTATTCGAGGAAGTATTCCATGTATAAAAATTACTATTCTACATAAAATATTAATTAAAATAAAAGTTAAAATTATTGAATATTTTAATAAATTCCTAAATATATAAATTCTAATTAATCTAAAAAAATAATTATTCCATATTCAGATAAAAAAATTAATGTAAACCCACCCCTAAAATATTCAATATTAAATCATCTGACTCACTTTCGATAAAATCTATAGGACTTCGATTTAATTCAGCTAAAATCCTAATAAACACTATAATAAACAAAGGATATAAAACTACTATATATCATAAATAAAATTGATAATTAATAAAATCAAAAAAAGAATATCTCTCTCTTATTAATATAATAACTAAAATAATTAAAATAAATCTTACTTCATATGATAATATTTGTGAAACTGATCGTATTGCTTCTATTATTGAATAAATCGAATTAGCTGATCATCCCATAAAAATTATAACATACCCTCTAATAGTTATAAAAACAATTATTAATAAAATAGAATAATTTAAAAAATAAATATTAGTAATGTAAGGAAATACTAATCATATTATTATTAAAACAAATCTAATTATAGGACATAAATAAAAAAAATTATAATTAGATTTATATACATAAAATAATTCTTTATTAAGTAATTTAATAGCATCACTAAAAGATTGAAATAATCCTATAAATCCCACCTTATTAGGTTCTTTACGAATTTGTACATATCTTAAAATTTTTCGTTCCAATAAAGTTAAAAAAGCTACCCCAACTAATATAATTAATAACAAAATTAACAATCTTAATATATTTAACGCACTATAAAAATATAATCTTAAATTTTGACAAATTATTACTTGTATAACTTTTTTCTATTATACATCATTAAAATTCTAAATTTAATACACTTAAATTTTGCCAAAGTAATTTTATTTATTTACATATATTTGATCAATTAAATTTATTCATTAAAAAAAATATAATTTAAAAAAAAGTCCTTTTGTACAAAATTTTCTTAATTTTATTATAGATAGAAACCGATCTGGCTTACACCGATCTGAACTCAAATCATGTAAAATTTTATTAGTCGAACAGACTAAAATATTAAACTTCTTTATTTAATTTTTATTTTAATTCAACATCGAGGTCGCAATCATTTTTATTAATATGATCTTTCTAAAAATATTACGCTATTATCCCTAAGGTAATTAATTTTTATAATTATTATAAAAAAAAAATTTTCTTAATTTAATAATCAATCCTTTATAAAAATTTCATTAATTAATGTTAAAATTATCTTTAAATTAAAGTTCATTTTATTTAATTATCCTCCCAATAAAATATAATCATTAAAATAAAATTTATTTCCTTAAATAAAAAAATTATATTAATTTAATAGGGTCTTCTCGTCCCATAATTTCTTTTAAGAATTTTAACTTAAAATTTAAATTTTAAATCTACAAATTAAAACAGCTTTAATCAATTCCTTCATTCCAGTTTTCATTTAAAAAACAATTGATTATGCTATCTTTGCACCGTCAATATACTGCGGCTATTTAAAAATCACTGAGCAGAAATAATTTTAAATTATTATCAAAAAACCATGTTTTTGTTAAACAAGTAAATTAATGAAAATTAATGTGTATATGCATTACAATATATTCAATACAATATTCTCTTAATTTGAACGAAAATTATAAATAACTTATGCGTAACATATATTTTTGGACTCCTAAATAAAAAATATATTATATTATTTGCAAAAAATAAGATGAAATATTTTTTATTCGAATAGTCTCAACTGCTCTTTTAGCTGAATGTTTAGAAGCAATGAAAAAAATCGAGGATCTACGAAAAATTTAAGTACATTTCTAAGATTTTTTTATATGATATAAAAAAAATATATGGTATATAAATTGATTTTTTTATTAATTTTTAATTACACACACACACACACACAAATAGATTCTTATTATTTAAAATAGTTTTTATTTTTGTTCTTTATTTACATATGCATACATATACAAAAAAATAAAAATAATATGATAGCCTTTTTGCTGACATTATCTCTCAATATTTGCATCCGTGTGCTCACGTATTAGTTTTTGTACCTACATGGACGCTACTACATATGCGATGTAAGAGAGACAAAGATGGAATGATGCTCTCTCCTTGTCAAGCAGTCAGCATGTTACCACAGAAATTTCCCCTGCTCCTTATGAATCTAGTGAGAATCTTATCGTCCAGATATTTCATAAAATAAGTGACATAACTTCGTGAATTTTTTTTTAATATATTCTTTATATAATAAAGCAGTCCTCTAAAAGGCCGGATTTTACATTTTCGCTCTTAAAAATTTATAATAAATAAAATACGGACTCGCGGCTAACCCAACCTTACCCGTTCCTAGCTGTGCATTCCCCCAAGTTTATTAAAAATTTTTATTTTTATCTTTTTTTCATAAAATAGCTCTTTAGAGGACTACAAATGAGCTTACTGATTAAGAATATCCTAAATTTAATAAGATTCATTCAATATTTTCGCTAATATCTGGAAAATAAGAATCCGTAATTCCCGGCCGGCCGATAGGCGTCTCCACCATGTCGCCTGTCGACCCTTAATAGATATAGTTTACATTAATATATATATTTATGTGTATAAATGTAAATTAGTTTTTATATTAAATTTTTTAATATTAAATATACAGGGTGTCACATTTTAATTATATCTCGAGAGCTTTCCAAAACCCCATATATAATAAAGTATTTTTTATCAAGTACTTTTTGAATTATAAAGATTCGAAGTTAACAATTTTTTTTATGTTAAAATATTCAGTTTTCGATAATCTTAATTATGTCCCCCTCGAAAGCATACAACTTTTGTCAAACATTTTCTACAATCAAAAATAAAAAAGGGAGACACCCTCTATCTCTGAAAAATCTTCGAAAACAACCAAAACACGGTCGATAATATCAACTTCAATTACCTCTGATTACCTTCAAGTTCACTTGAAAATTTACCCGAGTTGACCATCTTTAATAAACTACTTTGTTGCCGCATGGTTATGTTTAGTTACCATAACATGCGCTAATTTCAAATATTTTGGCATAGTAAATAAAGCGTTTATATTTCTATGTTATATTGCGATTCAACTTTGTGATTTTTGTAAAAAAATTTAACATTCGATTGTTTATCGAATACTTATTTTATTGTATATAACAGGTATTCTACACTCTTTCTCTGTTTATATTTTAACACACACGATCAGCGATATATTTATACTTATATTTCCTCATCTATAATTAATTTTCGTATTTGCAGACAAAAAATGGGCGATTTTTTCCCAAGCACAAAACTGACAGATCCTAAAGATGAACAAGTAACTGTGAAGTTAATGCGATTCTTGGAGACTTACATTCCAAGGAGGAATCTATTACGAAAAGACGTGCATAAAAACGTATAAATAATTATATATAATATATACATATTTTTTTAAGTGACAACATTATTTATACATTTTGAAGTTAATATGAAAAATTATCTTTCCAGAGAACATTTTTAGAAACATATTACTGGAGTTGGAACATGAAAATGTATCGTTAAGATATTGCAATAATGAGCAGAAAAAGATGGTACAATTATTTATCATGGAGAAATAATAATACAGAGGGTGTCCCATAAGAAATTGCTGAAACTAATAAACTGTCATTTTTTAATGCATGCAGTTATTGAGAGAAAACACAAAATTGGAAAGAGGAAAGTCTGCAGTTTTTATTAATATAAATAAAATATTTGTATATGGGTTTATTTTATTGATAAAAAATAATGAAAAAAGTGCTAATAATAATCAGATAAATAAATGATAAATATTTTCAACAGTGCTAGATTTAATAGCAGCTATTAAAAGGATCGTCAATAACATTAAAAATGACATGTTAGAAAAAGTTTTTATGAGTTTTCGTAAAAGAACAGAATTTTATACAAATTTAAATGGTGTGCACTTTGAAAATATTTACCATTAGTTTACATATGTGATTATTAACACTTTTTTCATCACTTCAATAAAATAAACTGCAGTATACAAACATTTTATTTATATTCATTAAAAACTGTAGACTACTTTTTTCAACACAATTTTGGTTTTCTCAATAACTGTGTGTATTAAAAAATGACAGCTGATTATATTCAGCAGTTTTCTGTGAGACATGCTGTACATTATGCTATAAATTTATTGTAATGCGATGTCTTTTTTTGAAATATATATACTAACATGGTATGTGTTGCACAACAATATTTCAGATCTCTACTTTAGAAGGCCGTGTTTGTAAATTACAAAACCAAATTGATGGCTTGCTATATAAATTAAATAGTGCCTGCGACGTTATGCGGAATATGCAGCAGAAAGTAATTAAAACACGTTTTTCCAAACAACAATCTTATTATGCTCTCATTACTTTTGTGCATGGATACAATTTTTGTACAGCTGAGAGACAGTGAGAGACAGCTGAAGGAACGCACGATGGACCAACAAAAATACTGCAGAGATGCAATGCAAGGATACAGAAAGAAACCGACAGAATGAGCAACGAGTCGGATATTAAACTACAAGAACAGCATAAACGATTAACGGTGAACTTTAATTTAACAAACATATACATTTATAATGTTTACTCTTTCAAAACATTCCACAATCATTTCTTCTAATCTTCAAGTGTTTTATATATATATATATATATATATTATATATGTGTGTGTGTGTGTGTGTGTGTGTGTGTGTGTGTGTGTGTATATATATATATATATATTTTGTAATAATATATTATTATATATATTATATATTATAAATATTTTGTTCAGAGCTACATCAGAAAAAAGGATGACGAATTAAGAATGGTGAAGCAAATATTGTCATCCACTCATGAAAGTATGTCGAATACGAGAACAGAGATCACAGAGGAATTAATCCCGATGACATCCAAGGAAGAACCTGCCGTGTCCGTCGATTCTCAAGTTCCTAGGAGCCATCGCAGCCAGCAGTCATCGCCCACTGGCTCGAGAATCAATCTCAGCGATGATGTTCAGGGAAAAATCGCGAAAAAAGCAATTCCGATGGCATCCAAAGAGGAATCTTCGCGAATCGCAGAAGAATCAATTCGAACTATGTGCACTGATACTCCATTGTGTTCCACTATGATTGCGTTAGCTAAAATTGCAACTAATAACAGATTCAAATCAGATAGAAAAGTAAAGGTAGTCTATCTAAAACGAGGGAATCCCTCGCGAACGCAAAGATTCTGATTTTGATGAAATTTTAGGAAGGTATTTAGATGAATTTAGGTATTTTTAGTTGTAGCCCAAAATCGAAATTCATCTATTTATATAATAAGTAGATAAAGGTTCCGTAAAATTAAAAATATTAAAAGAGAATAACAGAGGAATCAGTGCAAATATTTATTAAAATATATTTTAAAAAATCAAACATTATATTACGAATGTTTCTGTCTTTTCTTTGGACTCTCTTCAGTGCAAACAAATAACTAATATAAATAAAGTTACTCTAAGCTAACAGTTTTTGATGTAAAACTGTATCGCTACATAATTTACTATTAATAGGGAAAATTTAAAATATACACAAGTCAGTTATATTAAAATCCGATAAAACCAAATCGTAAAAATATACGTCTATTTATCTCTTCTATGTATAGTTTCATCAGAGTCAAAATTTTCGTGTTCGCAAGCAGAATCCAGCTAAAGAGACTAAATAATTAATATTTTTCAATAATCTACATGTATTTAAGGCTTCTGGCTCTTTCTCGCTGACCATATTAGATTGTAACGTCACACGCAAGAAAACGCACGCTAACAATTCTTAGATACCATTTCGATATATCTTTTCAGTTAAAAATGGCATCTAAAAATTTCTAGCGTCTACTCTCTCGCCTCTGATGTCATAATCTGATATGGCCGAGAATCCAGGAGCCTTATAATCGCTGTACCAAAGTAATACTGATAAAAATTGACCTAATGCATTTCACCACTGATAAGATTCCAGTAGTGAATCCGAGATATCGGCGATCGCAAAACGCAAACACATGGATAAATCATCATCCCGTTGGGACGGTTCCGACTGGTACCATCTTCCAGCCGCAAGCACAGCCTCACAAACGAGTCGTCCGAAAGTTGACGAATCCAAGTAACTTTGCAGTAAAGAAATCTGCCAAATACTGCCTTTACGCGCAGGAACAAAATACGGACGGCGAGCTCGAAACCAAATTATACAAGGTACAGGGTGTCCCATGAGAAATTGCTGAAACTGATCAGCTATCAATTTTTAATGCACGTAGTTATTGAGAAAACAAAAAATGTGTTAAAAAGAGGGAAGTCTACAATTTTTAATGGGTATAAATAAAATGTTTGTATACCAGTTTATTTTATTGAAAAAAAGTAATGAAAAAAGTGCTCATAATCACATATGTAAGCTAATGATAAATATTTTCAAAGTGTGTACCATTTAAATTTGTACAAAATTCTGTTCTTTTAAGAAAACTCAAAAACTTTTTCTAACATGTCATTTTTAATGTTATTGACGATCCTTTTAATAGCTGCTATTAAATTTAGCACTGTTGAAAATATTTATCATTAATTTAGATGTGATTTTTTATTAGCATTTTTTCATTACTTTTTATCAATAAAATAAATTGATATACAAACATTTTATTTGTATCCAAAAACTGTAGACTTTCCTCTTTGCCACACAATTTTTGTTTTCTCGATAACTGCATGCGCTAAAAAATGACAGCTGATTAGTTTTAGCAATTTCCTATGGAACACACTGTATAAACTTTGCTACACCACTTTTTTATTTAAAGCTACAGTGTACATTGTATCCTTGTATATTGCAGGCTGATATATTGCCAACGTGTGGAGGAGGAGCACAGATTGTATTTAACGATATAGAATGTCTAAAGCAGATATCTCCAGTTGCAGCAAAACGACATAATGGACAGATAAATCTGGAAAACAATTTAGCATCTACGTAAGTCTCATGTATATACATCGTCGAAAACTTCCCTAAGTACTATAAAATTATAATAACTTGTAAAATCGCAAAATTCGTTGCTTATAATTTTTTTTGTTATTTATTTAACAGATGTACTTGAGATTTTTTTTAGTTTTATGTTTTTCACATTGATTGATTGATACTTTGGAATTTATGCAACCGATGTTATATATCAGAGATAGAAGGCTAATTATTTCACATATTAGAAATAAACAATTTATTTTGTTTTACTTTCAAGCCATAGAATAACATTTGACGCTTTTTTGTTCCAAAGTAATCGTGTATATTATATTACTAATATATAAGGTGAAAGATATGAATTCTGTACATGTCGAGATGATAAACTAAAGAAAACAAAAAAAACAATTAAAAAGAAACTGCAATATTATTTTATATATATAACAAAGCTGCACAGACATTTTGCATACCGATAAATTAAATTTGAATGTGAATCGGAATTTGTCACATCCAAAAAGAAATGTACTGATAATTGACATTCTTCATTCATATCTAGCAAATTTCACTTGTCGGTAACAAGTTTTAACTGCATTACTTTGACGAAATAACTAATAAGCATATAAAAAATCTATTTTCCAAATCTAAAATATACAGTAATGTATATCCCCTCCTCCTTTCATTTATCACACCCACCACATATAATTTAAAAAAAATGATAAAGTATTAAAATAAAATTATATATCAATTTTATCAAGACTAGATATATTAATTACTAGAGAATTAATTATTTCGCGCGCGTTGTACAATTGACAAACTTTATACATACACACATACACGCACGCATACACACAAAATAGATTATTTAAAAATATTGTCTTATGCATTGTGCATTTCTTTTTTCTTTCACATAAAAATTGCTCAATTTCCACACCAAATATTACTTAAAAATTCTTCGCTTCTTATTAAGTTATAAATTTACAAATAATAGAAAATATGAAACTAAAGATATTCACGTGAAATCTTTCACAAATGATTTATTGTACAAGAGTTTACGATGTGCTTGTGTATTTTTCAAATATTTGAATGTATTTTTATTTTTATTATTTTATTTATTTATTTTTTCGAAATATAAGTCATGATATTGATCATCTAATTATCGGAACAGATGTCAAAGAGAGTTTATGTATCATGCAAGATACTATTCAATGCGAATCGCTTAATTTCCAGTAAATATTTTTTTTCTACAAAGTAACAACGGACTGACTATTCAAAGCGTCTCATCTATTTGCAATAATCTATATCTACAAAATGTAACATTTATTCGTGATGATTTGGAGATGTATACCTACACGATACATATGTGTGTATTCACACACACACATACACACACACACGTACATACATACACACACTATTGCTCAAGTAGCAAGCTGATGTCATTTTGACGTTTCATGACGTTGAATGATGCCATTTTGGCGTTTAATGACGTTAAATGACGCAATTTTGACGTTTAATGACATTTAATGGCGTCAGTTTGCTACCTGGATGATTACAACTTCAGCGAAACAGTAGACATTCATGTAGCTTCGAGCTATTAAAATTACATTTCATTAGACAAGATGATTAGGCAAAAACCTCCAGGCAGTTCTATAATTGGCAAGCGCCAATAGTGCTGCTTGGTCGAGATTTATTGCAACATCAAGCTAGATATTTGTTATAAATAATACAGCTCATTAGTCGGTCGGCGAAAAAAAATTAATTGTTAATATATCTTTATGAGATATCATGGACTATCACATAACAGATATAAGCATGGGTGCGACTTTTTAATGACTGCCTGTCCCAACTTCCTATACATATTATTATCACTTCAATACAATTAATTTTCCATCCGAATTCAAAATTGTTGGATAATATCGTTTTCTTCGAATCATGTGCGACAGGTAAAAAAAAAGCGGGGAGGGAGGGGGTGGGGGGAAGGAGGGGGGGGAGAGAGAGAGAGAGAGAGAGAAGTGGGCAGAGAAAAGAGGAGGCGTTCTGTGATGCAAATTCTTGCACAATTACGTGTAATAATTCTATGCACGATTATTTTATCTTGAATGTAGAGAAATGTCACGAGAAAAACTTGGAAAAATCGATCAAATTGATGTGATTGACGTGAAGACTAATTAAGGCTCCTGGCTCCTCATCGATCATGTCAGATTATGGCGTCAGAGGCGAGAAACATACGCTAAAATCCTTAGATGTCGTTTTGAAATAAAAAGTGTTATCTTTACTAAATTATCTAAAATAATGTTCAGATAATTTGAGTTAGAGTTATAGCACATAAAAAGATTTAAGTAGTAGAACTTAAGCGACAAAAACTTACAAATAAAAATATGAATATATTTTTATAATGTTTTTATAACTGTTTACATAAGCGATCTTAAAAATATCTGGAAATTATTCAAATGAATCGCCATATATAATTTTCTTTTATCTAGAGATATATTTAAAACGAAATCATCTTTATCTTATCTAAGATAAATCGAAATATCTTTTCACTGAAAAATGGCATCTACGAATTTTTGACGTGTGCTTTCTCGTCGTCTCTGCCGTCACGATCTAACATAGTCGCGACGAGGATCCAGGAACCTTAAGGATACAGTAACAGTCAAGCGAGATGGATTATCTCGCTGATCGTAGATAACAATAAGCAATTCCGCGAAAAACACGCTTTGCTCAAAAAACGCTCGCGAAATAAACGATTTGTTACAACACACTTTGATCGTGAAAGTGAAAATCTCTACTTTGAGATGATAATCTGGGGCCAACAAAAAAAGAGAAGTAAAATAAACGGAGACGATCGATCCCTATCGACCCTCTCATGATATAAACTCGAGTTTCATTCCGACATAATATAGTACACATAATATCATCGTAATTTCATCATTTTTTTCCTCTTTAATAATACCTTTTACTCTATGGCTTTACTCATGAACTCTATGAATCGTTTGCCATATTGTTCTGGATCACAGGTAGATATACCGTCGACATAGCACCATACTTGACGGTTTTGGCCGCTTTCGCTGCTTGCTTACGCACACCGTAATGCGTGAGTACGTCTATTATGGCCAGGAAATAAATCTCCTTTGTTGGAGCACCTGAACGAAACAAGCAAGAGGTGAACATTCGTCCTTTATCACGTTGCATCCGATCAAAATGTCCAAAGTACTCGCTTAATTTTGAAGAAAGTACCTTCTTTACTAGGAATTGCGTAGATATCTAGCTCCGGTATTATCGCGTCCTCGTACTGCAAACTGGTGTCGCGCATCAACGCGGCGTGCGGTGACTCGGGAGGGGTTGCCATGCTGGTAACCGCGTGGCCAACGCCGCTCCAGCCCCACAAACGGCTGGAAAGTCAGTCATTGATGAGTAACAGATGAGAATGAATGAAAAATTATCGCACAAATAATACAGAGACAGCTGATTAATTTCAGCAATTTTCTATAGGACTTTCTAGAGGATTTTCTATAGGAGGTAATCATAGGTGGAATAACCTGAATCATTTTGGAATCATGTTTTGATAAGCTAGAAAATAGTGAGGAAGGTAAGATAAGGAGATTACGAAATTAGGAACTGGATAATGAAGGGAAATTTTTTTAGGGAAAAGGTAAAAAAAAAAAAAAAAGGTTCAAACGGAGTCATCTGATGACATTGATCTTGACCTTGGGTGAATTGAAGGTCACTTGAAGAAAGTCAATATAAAAATTTTAAATTAAAAATAAGATATCTACTATTAAATACAATTACTATTAGATACAAGATATCTACTATTAAAAATTTTAAACTAAAATTCTCATTTCTCATTATTAATGAAAAAATATTTTATTATAGGGTTTTGGAAAGCTCTTGATATGAGCTACAAGAATATGTAATGAGACATAGGAATTATATTCAGAGATGCTACATGGTTGTAAAAAATATACGAAAGAAATATCTCGTCTTACTCTGCCATTGGACCTCGAGATTCTAGTCCGCTGCCGGACTCGCTGTCGTCTTCCTCTTCATGATTATCCTCATCATCCTCCCTCTCCGCACGTTCTCTGCTCTCTTGTTCAGCACGCGCGCAATCGTGCAAGCCAAGTAGCAAGGAGTAATCCATCAAATGTAATCTCGTCAAGAACTATAAACAGATTTAGCCCAAATAGTTCTTCAATGGAATAAATTTCTTTACAAATTAATCATACCAAAGTCTTATAGCTCGCTAGCTCTCAAAGTAATACATACATACTTAGGTATAACTTTATTAAAAAGTATACAATTACATAAATAAGTGTCTACTCAAAAATTTTTCAAGGTAAAAAAAAAATCCCCGACAATCCTCAGTTTTCCCGATTTTTCCAGGAAATCAACATCCGATAAAGGCTGTATACACACTTGTGTGTAAATACTTACATCTACATCGGCGGTTAACGTTTCTATTAGCTTAACTTTGGCCTCTTCTCCAATGTAAATCTTCATACCCTCCTTCACGAAATCATTATCCTTATAAGTAGGAAGATCCTTTTCCTTCTCCTTGTCGGACGCTTCTCGATCCACTGTCGAGCCCTTCAAATCAAACTTTTTGTGCGTTGTCAAGTGGTTCGAAAACACATTCCTTATGGCGACTACATAATGCTCGACTCCGTCGACAGTTAATCGGTACATTCCCAGATATTGCGGCAATAATGTCTTTCCATGTCGCTCGACAATATACTAGAACGCAAAATACGTGGAGGTGTAATTTATAGCTATTTTCTAATATATACTTACTAACAGGGTTGGATAACTAGTTAATTAGTTAAAAGTTAATAACTTTAAACTTAGCTTAGTTAATTTAAAATGTATTTAGTTATTTTTTACTTTAAATTTATTAACTCTTTTCCTAAGTTTATTTTTTTTAATCTTTGAATACCTTCATTGTTTTTTTTATAGTTATAAACGTAAAGTATTATTAAAGTATTATTATTATTTTGTATGTTTGTATATTTCTATATAAAAATCAAACAAAAATTTGTTATTTGTTATAAATTTTAAAAGAATTGACAACAAATTTTAATTTAATATAAGTAATGCTTTAAAAATTAACTTTGGATTTAACTGTAGTTAATTT